CTTTTTCTTTGGTTTTCTGTAACTTAAATATGATATGCCTAAGTGTAGATATTTTGGTATATATCCTCTTCAGTGTTCTCTGAGCTTCTGTGGTTTGGTGTTTGTCTTTAACTTTGGAAAAGTCTGACATTATTACTCCAAATATTTCTTCTGTTCCTTTCTCTCTTTCTTCTCCTGATATTTTCATTATGTGTATGTTATACCTCTTAAAATCATTCCACGGTTCTTGTATATTCTATTCAGCTTTTTTCACTCCTTTTTCTCTTGCTTTTCAGTTTGGGAAGATTCTGTTGACACGTCTTCAAGCTCACTGATTGTTTCCTTGTCCATGCCCATTTACTGATGAGCCCGTCAAAGACATACTTCATTTCTGTTACCTTCTTTTTGATTTGTATTGCTTCCTTTTGATTTTTTCTTTGAGTTTCCATCTCTTTGCTTACATTACCTATCTCTTCTTGCTTGTTATCCACTTTTTCCATGAGAGCCCTTAATATATTAACCGTAGTTATATGTTCTGAGTCTGATAATTCCAGTGTCCCTGCCACATTAGTCCATTTCTGTTGTTATAACAGAATACCTGAAACTGGGTAATTTATAAAAAACAGAGGTTTATTTTGCTTATGATTCTGGGACAGCTGCATCTGGCAGGGGCCTCAGGCTGCTTCTACTCATGGTGGAAAATGGCACGTAGCTGGTGGGTACAAGCAGATCATATGGTGAGAGGAAGCAAGAGAGAGAAGGGGAGATGCCAGAGTCTTTTTAAACAACCAACTCTCATGGGAACTAATAAAGCAAGACCTCACTCATTACCCCCACCCACCAGGGAGAGCATTAATCCATTCGTGAGGGATCTGCCTCCATGACTCATTAAACAGCTCCAAACCCTGTCACATTGGGACCAGATTTTCACATGATTTTGGGGGTGACAACACATCCAATCATTCCATCCCTGGTCCCCCAAAATTCATGTTGCATATATAATATAAATATATATATATTATATATAATATATATAATACATATAAAATATAATCATTCCATCCCAACAGTCCCAAAAGTCTTAGCTTGTTCCAGCACCTACTTAAAAGTCCAAAGTCTCATCTGAGACCAAAGGCAAGACTTTCAGCTGTGAACCTGTAAAAATCAAACACCAGTTTATCTACTGCCAAGATAAAATGGTGGAACAGACATTGGGTACACATTCCCTTTCCAAAAGAGAGGAATAGACCAGAAGAAAGGAGAAACAGGCCCCAAACAAGTCCAAAACCCAGCAGGGCAGACGTTAAATCTTAAAGCTCCAAAATAATCTCTTCTTTGACTTCAAATTCTACATCCTGAGCACAGTGGGGCATCTGGGCCCCCAGAGCCTCAGGCAATCCTGCCACCTGGCTCTGCTGGGAGCAGTCCACTGGGCTGCATTGGTGCCTGCAGCTTTTCCAGGCTTGGGTTGCATGTTGCCAGTGGTCCTACAGTTCTGGGGTCCTGGCGGCAGCCCCACTCCCTTAGCTCTACTAGCCATTTCCTTGGTGGAGGCTCTCTATGGGGTTCCAACCCCACATTCCTGCTTGGCGTTGCTGTAGTAAATGGCCTCCTCAGCAGCTCCACCCTTGCAGCAGGTCTCTTCCTGGGCCCCCAGGCTTTTCCAGACATCCTCTGAAATCTGGTGGAGGCTGCTACGCCTTCACTGCTCTCAAGTTCTGCCAGCCTGTAAATTTAACACCATGTGGACACCACCAAGGTTTCTGACTTATGCTCTCCAGAGCTGCTGCATGAACCACACTTGGGGCTACTCGAGGCAGGGCAGCTCCACCCAGAGCGGCTGGCATGCAGGGAGCAGGTTCCCAAGGGCAGCAGTGCCCCAGGTCTGTCCTCTGGAACAATTCGGCCCTCCTAGGCCTCCAGGTCTGTGATGGGAGGGGTGCTCTTCCAGACTTCTGAAATTCCTTCAGGGCCTTTCTCCCATTGTCTTAGCTGTTAGCATCTGGCTGCCTCATCACTATGCTGATGTCTTTAGCAACCAGTCTATCTGCTGCACCCTTGCATTTTTCTCCTGAAAGGGCTCTCTCATTCTTTACCACATGGCCAGGCTGCAGATTTTCCAAATCTTTACACTCTGCTTCCCTTTTAAATTCTGGCTTTATATAATGCCTTTGTTACCATGACTCAGCATAGGCTGTTACAAGTAGCCATGCAGTATTGTAATGATGAATAAGCTAACTATACTGATCTAACCATCACACATTCTACACAATTATTGAAAATCAACGTAGTATCCCACGTATATATATAATAAAAAAAATGTCAAAGGATAACAGGTGTTAGCAGGGATGTGGAAAAAAGTACACTTGTATATTGTAGTGGAAATGTAAATTGGTACAACTGCCATGAAAAAGATTATGGATATTTCTCAAAGATTATAATTTAATTTGCCTCAAAATATTATAAACACTAAAAATTAAAATTTTAAAAAATTCAAAACTTTTTTAAAAGTTTTGGAAATAGAGCTGGGGGTCACACAGCATTGTGAATGTAATTCTGTAAAATTATACTTTTAAAAATTCTTAAGGGCCGGCCCGGTGGTGCACTCGGTAGAGTGCGGCTCTTGGGAGTGCGGCGGCGCTCCCGCAGAGGGTTTGGATCCCATATAGAGACCGGTCCACTCACTGGTTGAGCGCGGTGCGGGCGCGACACCGAGGGTTACGATCCCGTTGCTGGTCGCGGTACGGGCGTGACACCGAGGGTTGTGATCCCGTTACCGGTCACGAAAAAAGACAAAAAAACGGAAAACGGTGCGGGCGCGACACCGAGGGTTACGATCCCGTTGCTGGTCGCGGTACGGGCGTGACACCAAGGGTTGTGATCCCGTTACCGGTCACGAAAAAAGACAAAAAAACGGAAAAAAAAAAAATTCTTAAAATGGCAAATCTGATATGTATTTAGCACAATAAAGAAAAGTTAAAAAAATTAAAACTACAAAAAAAAAAAGCACAAACAAGTAGCCATGTAGCTTCTTTAATGCTTTGCTGCTTGGAAATTTCTTCTGCCAAACATTCTGCTTCACAGCTCTTAAGTCCCACCTTCCACAAAGTCCTAGGGCATGGACACAATGCAGCCAAGTTGCTTGCTATGGTGTAGCAAGAGTGATCTTTTGTCCAATTCCCAATAAGTTCTTCATTTCTATCTGAGACCTCATCATCAGCATGGCTTTTACTGTCCACATTTCTATCAGCATTCTAGTCACAACCATTTAACCAATCTCTTAAACGTTCCAAACTGTCCCTCATCTTTTTGTCTTCTGAGTCCTCCAAACTCCTCCAGCCTTTGCCCATTATCCACTTCCAAAGGCATGTCCACATTTTCAGGTATCTGTATAGCAACACTCCACTTGTGGTACCAGTTTTCTGTATTAGTCCGTTTCTGTTGCTATAGTAGAATACCTGAAACTGGGTAATTTATAAAGAACAGAGGTTTATTTGGCTTATGATTCTGGGACAGCTGCATCTGGCACAAGCCTCAGGCTGCTTCTACTCATGGTGGAAAATGGCAGGCAGCCGGCAGGTACAAGCAGATCCCATGGCAAGAGAAAGCAAGAGAGAAGGAGAGGGGAGGTGCCAGGGTCTTTTAAACAACCAGCTCTCATGGGAACTAATAGAGTGAGAACTCACTCACTACTCCTACCCCACAGGGAGAGCATTAATCCATTCATGAGGTATTTGTCCCCATGACTCAAACAGCTCCCAACACTGCCACATTGGGAATCAGATTTCCACATGATTTTGGGGGTGACAACACATCCAAACTCTATCACCCGCCATGTCTGAGTCTGGTTTTAATGTTTGCTCTGCCTCTTCTGACATGCAGCATCAGGTGTCCAGTGTGGCCTACCTGGACACCTGAGCCCAGGACTCCAGAGTTTTTATTGACTGAAGTTACAGAAGTCCCACATCCCCCAAAGGAAAGCAGGTGTTCACTGTAAATTACATTGTTCACACACACTATCCAGACAAACTTACACGTCATGGTTCATGATCTGAGGATACCAAACACTTGTCTATTCAAACATTCCTAGAGCTCAGTTTACCAGAAGCCAGCCATGGGCTACTCGTAAAAACAAGCCCTTTTTGGGAATGTGCAAGGCTTCAGCAGCTTGGGCCTGCTGTGTTAATTCCTGCACAGCTAGTATCCCAGTTTAGAAACCAATCTTGTAAATAAGAGAAGACTGACCAATAGAAATGTGAACAAAGGAGACTAATAGCCAGTAAAGGAAAATCAGAATACTTAAGCTTATGAAAAAAATGCCTAAGCTTCCATTACATAAGATAAATGCAAACTAAAGCAAACTGAGAACACTTTTTATATATCTGATTAATAAAAGGTGTGGGAAACAGGAAATTTTATACTCGTTGCAATTGTATGTATGTGTCTGTATGTAGTATTTGTACTGAACACATATTTTGGCATTATTTCTCAAAACTCCAAATGCAGATATCCTTTGACTTAGCTTTTCACTTTTTAAGAATTTATTATTCCGATAAACTTTCATTATTGTAAAACGATGTAAGTTTGTGATAGCAAAAGATTGGAAAAATCTAGATATTAATGGGGACTGGTTAAATAGAATATGGTACATCTATGTTAAACTATTGGATGTGCTTAAGCTTTATAATACATATTGCCACAAGATAATAAACAATTTTTAACCATAATATTGTACTCTAAAAATATCTCACTTGTTCTAGTAATAAAAACTGTCATCTGCTCAGATGTCTTATACTTAGAAATGTAGAACCAAACCACAGGTGGATTTGAGGTTCCTTATGTGTACACACTTGGACTATGAAAAAAGTTGAGGTTAGGATTTACTTACATAGCAACTCATCTTTTCTCAAACCAGGAAAATGAATTGGAGACATAACTGTCTTGAGGTTATCTTTTCTTTACTCAATCCAGTATAGAAAGCACTTACTCAGTGATCATGTTCTTTGTTTTTTGTCTTAAAGACAGATGCACATTATTCCATACTGTCACTTCTTCTGTGTCTGTCTGATTCTCCTTCAAACAACAATTATGTGGAAACACCAAGAGAGAAAGAAGTGGGTATGTTACTAGATAGTTTATCATGTAAGAAATAAAAGAGAAATTCATTTTATTACTTAATTACTAGACATGGAGGTTTTATTGAAAGTTGTAAAAACCTATGAAACTGAAAAATGTGTGTTGCTTTGGATACAGTTGCAATTGCAAAATTTCAGTTAAGTTCTGACTATAAGTTAGACTACTTTCAGTTTTATAGAGAAAACTCACTTTATAGAGTGAGTTAATTAAAATATAAAATGTATTAGAATATTAACTTATAAAGTATTTCAATATTTTTGAATTTTGGTTTCCTGAGTATATTTTTATCTTGAGTTAGGCTTTTTTCCTATAGTTTTGCTGTTTTTTTCAGAGATAGTTATGATAAAGCTGATGAGGTTCTTCTGTTACATTTTAGAGAAGGATGATTTTGACTGGGGAAAATACTTGCTGGAAGGGGAAGAAATTGACCTTGGTCCAAACATGGATACACCAGTAAGTGGCAGTAGTTTCGCTACTGAAAATATAAAAATATGCCAAGTGATAAAGATGATTTTAATGGGTCCTTCTGCCTGAGAGCAGCTTAGCTGAAACAGTAATGCTTTTCACTAAGCTAAAGTAGTTTATTGTGGAAGACTTATTAAGATTTTGCACGAAATCATTATTACTAGGAAGTTGAATGGGGTGAATACAAATATCCCTCAAGGAGCTGTGATCTTGGGATTTTTGCCACCAAAAATGATTCCATTCCTATAACAGGAACTTTTAAGAGATTTAGAAAAAATTTCATTTGGTTTTTGCTTTTTTGTCCGTGTTGCTTCCAAGATTACACCTTCTGAAATTTTCTTAATCTTTTTTTTTTTTTTTTTTTTCCTTTTTGTCTTTTTTCGTGTCTGGCAACGGATCACAACCCTCAGTGTCACGCCCATACTGGACCGGGACCGGCAACGGGATCGCAACCCTCGGTGTTGCTCCCACACCTCGCTCAGCCAGTGAGCAGGAACCGGTCTGTATGTGGGATCCGAACCCTCAGCGGGAGCGCTGCCGCGCTCCCAAGCGGCGCACTGTAGCAGTGCGCCACCGGGCCGGCCCAATTTTCTTAATCTTTTAACCTAAATATCTCTAATTATTATATTCTCTAAGGAAAGATAAGGTGTATTTCTTTTTTAAATCAGAGTTGGTCTGAAGAAAGTGAAGACGAAGATGATCAACAGTCCTTAAGTAGAGAAGACTCTGGGATTCAGGTGGACAGGACACCATTAGAAGAACAAGATCAAAACAGGAATCTGGGGCCACGTGTCAGCTGGAAAGGTATTGTGCATTGTCAGGTGCTGGCATTTTCTAATGGAGGAATTCCCTAAAAGGAAAGGCAAGCTTTGAGATGGTTCCATGTGATCGAGATATTGGTAAGCTTTGCCATTTTTATAAAACAAATTTTTTTAAAGCCATTAGTAGATCTTTTAGTGCCTAAGTAGTAACACTGTAGAGTTCGTGTTTAAAAGGGATTTAGAGTGCACCTTTCTTCTTTTTTTTTAATAATTCTGAGGGCTTTGTTCGTTCTAAATACTTCCTTTTTTTTTCTATTGGAGAAGTATTTACTTGCTGAAGTTAATAACTAAATAAAAGGAAAAGATCTATATAATTTTTTTTTAATTTGATTGATTTTTCAGTTTTTAGTGAAGAACTATAAATTGGTAGAATCTAGAAAGAGCTGGAAGCAACCTTTTAGATCATCTAATCCTGCTTTTCCTCTTGGAGATAAGGAAACAAAGGCCAGATGCGATGGCTTTTCTGTGGCCACACAACTGTGAGGCTGACAGTGCTTATGGCCCCTGCAGTCAAACCTTGCCAAATGGACATAAAGCAGTTAAAGCAACTAGACATCCTAATGATTTTCTGAGTTTTTCCCCTTTTCTTTTTTCTTTTTTTTTTTTTTAAAGATGACCAGTAAGGGGATCTTAACCCTTGTCTTGGTGTTGTCAGCACCACGCTCAGCCACTGAGTGAACCGGCCATCCCTATATAGGATCCGAACCCGTGGCCTTGGTGTTATCAGCACCACACTCTCCCAAGTGAGCCACAGGCTGGCCCTTTCCCCTTTCTTTTTAATTCTTCAGTTGGGCCTCCAGGGCAGAGTGTGATTAATCATGCCACGCAGTTCAGAGCGCATTAGCGTCGTTAGTCTAGTTAGGGCCTTTTAGTTTATTAAATTCTTTTCTTTCCTCTGCTATTTCTGATTCCCACTCCTATTTCTCTTTCTCTCCCAGCCCAGTTACAGGTGTCTGTTCTAGTGTATTTGCTATCTATGTTCTCACACATGCCGAGTTCTTGTAAAACACTGTGATGGTTGGTGTGTTCTGTTTCTTAATTATATAACTGGTATTGTGCTATGTATAAATTTTGTTGTTACTCTTTTCATTTGTCTCTTTAAAAATCTGTCCACATTGCTATATGAAAATCTCTTTCTTTGTTCCTAACTGTTACATAGGATTCCACAGTTGCAACTTACCTGTCCCCTTATTGATAGGCCCTGAGTTGTCTTCGCCTCCTCTGCCACACCTAGTGCTCTGCCAGCTCTGGACCTGTGTGAGAATCTGGCTGTAATACATAAGTTCCTGCCTCTCCATCTCATCAGTACTAGATAAGATCTGCCTTTCTGATTTTGGCCATTGTTGCCTTCATTGGCAGTTGTCTGGCTGCTAGTGTTTTAGGGGCTTCCTCCTTTACCTGATCCCTTGAGCTTCCTCTTCTGAGAATTGATTGGCCATTGACATTGTTTTCTGGTTTTTCTTTTGAGCTTTGTATCCTTCCTGCCCATCCCCACCCCTCAGAGTTTTTGCCAATCTAGATATTAATTCCTAGATTTTAGATATTGCAGATATCTTCTAGTCAGTCACCTGGCTGTAAACATTTTTCATGATGTCCTTCAAACAGAATCCATGATTTTTTTTATATTTTATTGTACTCAAACCTGTGGATTTTTCATATGGTCAGTATTTGGATCTTGAAATTTTTCTCTAAAAAAAATTCTCCTGTATTTTTTCTAATGTATGTTTTTTTATCTCTTACATTTGGGTCTTTACTGACCACCCAGTCCACTTTTGTCCGGAGTATATTTTCTGCCATCTTCTGAGCCAGTTTTCCCAACAGCATCTAGGAAATAATTCATTCTTTCCACATTGCTTTGTGGATCTGCCTTTTTCATGTATTAGTTTCCCTAAATACATGTATTTATTCCAGATTTTCTATTCTGTTCACTTAATGTGAGTCTGGCCCAAGAACAGACAATTTTTATTATATGGCTTTGTAATATTATGTCTTAATACATAGAAAACAAGTCTCCCCACATCCTCTTTGCTTTTTTTCGAAATTGGCTTAGCTATTTGTGAACTTTTATTCTTCCATAGACATTTTAGAAACAGTATGGTAAGTTCCTTTAAAAAAAATTCAACTGGAATTTTGATTGAGATTGCAGTGAATTTAGAGATTTAACTGGGGGAACACTGACATCCTTACTATGACAGTATCTACACTTATTCTGATTTTTTATGACTTTTAGTAGATTTTGAAATTTTTTTTAGTGATCTTAAGTATTCGCTACTCAATTTCTACATATGTGATAGTTTTATTGTTGTGTTGTGTTTGTTGTTGTTGTTGTTGGCAGCTGGCCAGTATGGGGATCCGAAGCCATGACCTTGGCATTACAAGGCTGTGCTCTAACAAACTGAGCTGACTGGCCAGCCCATAATTTTATTATTGTTAATGTTGCTTTTTTGTTTTGTTTTGTTTATTCCTGGTATTAGGGAACACTATTGGTTTCTGTAAGTTATCCTTATATCCAGCATTCTTGATAAATTCTTATATTAATTATAATAGTTGATTCCATTAGGTTTTTTGTATAAATGATCAGTATCATCTGCAAATATTGACAGGTTTATCTCCTCCTACCAATTCTTATACCTCATATCTTCTCTGTGTCATGCTGACCAAGTCTCTTTTCTGGCCCACAGCCCAGCCCTCTAGTCTGTAGAGTGAGCAGCCGCAGTGGGAGTGGGCTTCCTGGATGGATCTTATCCTCAGGGGTTGCACCTGAAACTCCTCCATTAAGTGTCATGGTTGTTTGGTATCAGTTTGGGGTATGTGGCCTTTATCAAATTAAGACAATTTCCTTCTATTCCTTTTTTTCTAGGCTTCTTTAATCATAAATGAATATTGAACTTTATCAAATGCTATTTTTTAATCTGTGAAATAATCCCATAATTTTTCTCTTTTATTCTATTGCCACATTGATAGATTTTCTTTTTTTTTTTTTTTTTTTCTGAACTATGAGTTGGGAGATTTTTTGATATTGAATCATCCTTTAATTCCTGAGCTTAACTTCCTTGATCATTCTGGTTTTTAGTATATTATTGGATCGGACTAGCTATTTTTGTTTGTCTGTTTTTGGTTTTGGTGGCTGGCTGGTGAGGGGATCTGAATCCTTGACTTTGGTGTTACCAGCACTGTGCTCTCCCAAGTGAGCGGACTATCTTTTAATGTAGGATTTTTCATCTTTATTCTTTGATGAATTACTTTTTTTTTATCATGTCTGTATTAGTCAAGGTTCTCTAGAGAGACAGAATCAATAGGATATGTTATAATTATATGAGAGGGATTTATTAGGGGAATTAGCTCATGCAACTATGCAGAAAAATCCCATAATAGGCCATCTGTAAACTGGATGCTGGTAGCGTGGCTCAGTCCAAGTCCAAAGGCCTCAAAACCAGGGAAGCTGATGGTGTCCTTGGTGTAAGTCCTGGAACCCAAAAGCTGAAGAGTCTTGAGCTCTGATGTCCGTGGACAGGAGAGAAGAATGTATCCCAGCTCCAGCGGATTGAGAGAGAGCTTCACCTCTTTCCTCTGTCTTTTGTTCTCTCTGGACCCCCAGCGGATTGGATGGTTCCCACTCGCATTGAGAGGGGGTCTTTCCCACCCAGTTCACTCAGACTCTCATACTAATCTCTGCTGGAAACACCCTCACGGACACACCTAAAAAGATAGCTTTACCAGGTTTCTCAGCATTCCTTCATCTGACCAAGCTGACACCTAGAATTAACCTTCACAATGTCTTTGTCTAATTTTAGCGTCATGGTTAATGTGGCATATATAGACAATATAAAATGTTAGGCAGCTTTCCTTGTTTCTATTTTCTGAAACAACGTCTATAAGGTAGAGATTATTTAATTCTTCAAAGTTTAGTACCAGTCCTGAGGCTTTGGAGGTGACTGGGAAGGTATTTGGTTACCATTTCAATTTCTTGAATGGTTATTGGACTATTCAAATATTTTTATCTTTTTACTCATAGTGTCATTTTACAGTTGAGTAATTTTTTTCACTTTCTAGCCAATGACATTTCATTAAATTTTGTGTGCATCTCTCTATATATATGGTTTTAAATAAATGCTTGTAAATATATAAATGTTATCAGGTTAAAGAGCCATTTTCAGGTGTATATTTGAATTGAGTCATAAGTCCAGATATTGTGACAGAGTTGACCAAGTATTTTCTTGTTAACTGTTGTGACTCAAACGTATCACATCTCCTTCCAGCAGATGAGCCAGATGGCCGAAGCTGGCTGGAGCAGCACGTGGTCCGCCCTTACTGGACTGCCGAGCCCTCGCGGCTCCCTCACAGTCTACACTTGCACTCCAGTTTAGCTGCTGTCTGGTAAAAACCCAGGTTTTTCATTTAATGTAATGACAGAAGAAACTTTGATATTTAAACATTTGGCTTTGTCTTGTGATTTAAATCAAGTACTTCCCTGAAATTTAAACTTGTTGTTTGAGTTTTTTTAAACAATTGTAATTGAACAGTTTTTAATTATAATCTGTGTTTTGGTTTTTTTTGTTGTTGTTATTTTCAGTGTGAATGGATTAGTATATATTAGGCCATTATTTAATTTCTGTTTTAGTGTGCTTATTACAAAAATACGCTTAACTGTTTTCCAAAGAACAACATTGCATAGTTTTAAATATGACAATTGGAATTGCTCTGAAAGTGTTTGTCTGGGAGTATTTCAAACATGTGAAAATGAATATGGGGGGAAGTTAAGGCATTTATTATGTTTATTTGCTAATTTATTACTAATTAAAGTAGCACTAAATTGCATATTTTCTTTGAGACAAGCAATTTTACTTAGAAATCTTTCTACTGACTTTTGATGTTTGCTGTCTATTAGGGATCAACATTTGTACAGCAGTGATCCACTATATGTTCCAGATGACAGAGTGTTTGTTACTGAGACACAGGTTATTCGGGAAACCCTATGGTAAGCTCTATTAGCCTAATTAATAGTCTTGAGGACTTTATTAGTGAGAAGCAGAACTATCTTTTTAAAGGAGAGTGTTCAAAAAAATAATAATAAAGGAAAGTGTCCAGGGGTTTTTCACATGCAAACTAGAAACAGCCATTAGGTATGAAGTTCAGATTTGATCATGCAGATTGTGAGATTTTGATATATTTACTTCTTTTTCATTTTAAATAATTCTGTATATGATTTAATTAGATTAGACCATCATTTTTTAAATATCTGAGTTCAAAGCAAGGTTTCCTGCTGCTTTTAATAGGCATAGTGCATCAATGAGCCCTGTGCCTGTACCTAGAAACCAGGAATCTAATGCAGCGTAAATTGCTGTTACTACTGAGATTCCAGGTCCTGGTATTCTCATCATAAAATATGGTATTGGGCAATCTGACATTCTTTGAAATGGGAAGATCTCTATGGGTCATCAAGTATGTGGGGGAGATGCTTTGACAGCACTGTTTTAGACTTCTCTCTCAAATGATGTTGAAATCTCTTGAATCTTAAGGTAATCAGATAAAAAGATTGATGTCTTTCTTTTTCTTATTATGTGGTGCTTTTTATCCCCTAATTCTGAATCTTTAATAAAAATGTCTTAGGCATACTGTAGTGAATATTTTTCTAGACTTGAAGTGCACTCATCTTTTTATTTCATTTCAGGTTACTTTCAGGGGTAAAAAAGCTCTTTATATTTCAGTTGATAGATGGGAAGGTAACTGTGAGAAACAATATTATAGTAACTCACTTGACACATGTAAGTTATTTGTATTTATTGTTCTTTAAGAATTAAATTAAGTAATAGGATTTTTGCAAGTCATGGTAATAAAACTTTAGAACATTTTACAATATTAAAATTAACTATTAAATATACTTAAGACCCAAAAAGCAAAATTAAGTTGTACAACTTTACAGTGCTTACAGAATTCTTTAATATTGTTCGTATTTTGATTTGTGTTTTTTGCTTTTCATTTGTCATTCTATATTGGAAAAACTGTAATTTTTTTGGCTATAGTATATTTGCCTTATATGTGTTTTTGAAAAGTAGAAGCCACAATTCTATATTTCATAGAAATTCATGCTCACGCTATTTCTTTTAAATATAAAACTAAATATTCATCATCATATTACTTTGTTCTCTATTAAACATACTGTTTAAAACAGTCAAAAGGAAATATTTTACAGTGAGGGAGAAATGAATTTGAATGTTTACAAAAAGCTAACTTTAAATAACTACGGATTGCTTCTGTTGCAGAGCTGTTTACGGTCTGTGCTGGAACAAATAGCAGCATACGGCCAGGTTGTTTTTCGACTGCAGGAGTTCATTGATGAAGTCATGGGACACAGCTCCGAAAGCATGTTACCTGGAAATGGTTTCGTTCCTAAGAAGTCGACTGAAGCTCCCTTTAGAACCTACCAGGCTTTCATGTGGGCCCTGTACAAATATTTCATTAGTTTCAAAGAAGAACTTACAGAGATTGAGAAGTGCATCATCAGTAATGGTATTTAAGTGTTCTTCACTTTTACTCATAAGACACTCATGTTTTGAATGCCAGTTAGGTTAATCACTGATAAAAGTTTTGAAAGTCACATGGCAAATAAGTAATTCTCATGAGTGCATTCATTTTTTAAATTATTTTAAATACACACACACACACACACACACTTACATATATATATATACATATATATATATATATACACACACTTTTTTTTTTTTGGTGGCTAGCCAGTATAGGCTCTGAACCATTGACCTGGTAACTTTATATTTTTACATATATATATATACATATATATATATATATATATGTATATATATATATACACACACTTTTTTTTTTTGGTGGCTAGCCAGTATAGGCTCTGAACCATTGACCTGGTAACTTTATATTTTTAAGACATTCATATCTCTAAAAATCCAAAAAGAAGGATTTAGAGTGAAAATTCTTCTTCCTGCTCCAGTTCACAGCCAGTCAGTTCCTCTGCAGAGGCAACCAGGTCCACAGTGTCTTGTGCATCCTTCCAGAAATAATTTAGACATACGTACATACACATGTGCCTAGTGGTCACTGGTCTCTTCGGATTGTTTTCTAAATGTAAATTTTGAGAATTATACCATATGAGCATATGAAGACTCTCCTCATTCTCTTTTACAAATTGAGTATTTCATTGTATGGCTGTATCATAGCCCAGTCCTCCTTGATGGACATTTAGGTTATTTCCAATGTTTTGCTATTGCCAACACTGCTGCAGTGATAACCAAAACTTATACTCTTGCTAACAATGTATATGAATACCTCTTTTCTCACACTCTTGCCAGTGGTATGTTATCAAGCTTTTTGGTCTCCACTGACATGACAGATGGAAAGTGGTAACCCAGTGCTGTTTTTTTTTCCTTAACATTTAATTTCAACTACCACAAAAAACAGTGTAGAGAAGCCTTGTGTTCCCATCACACTGCTTCTCCAGTGCTCATGCCTTACACAATTATTGTACATGATCACAACTGGGAAACTGACATTGGCACAGCATGTGGGCCAGGCTGCAGGCCCAGCATGGGTTTACCTGTGTTGCAGGTGTTTGCTGTGTCTACAGTGCTGTGCCATTTTACCACACGCACAGATCCATGTACCCACTTCCACATCTGAGATACGGACCTGCCACGCAGGAGCTCCCCTGCTGCCCTTTGTAGTCACAGCCTCCCCCTTACAGTAGTGGCCTATTGTCGGGTGTTTTTCTCACCTGGTGTAACTTTAATTTGTGTTCTTTAATTATAAGTGAGGTTGAATGTCTTTCTATGTGTTTAAGAGTCACTTTCTTTTCTTTGAACTATCAGTTCCTTTATACATTATTTTTCTGTGCATTGTCTTTCTCCTTGACTTGCAGGAGTTCTTTCTTCCTTGTGATGTAAGATCAAAAGCTGCTACCCTATTTAGCCATGCCTTTCCATAGCCCAATAAGTGGCTCAGCATTTATATCATGTTTTGGATACAGATATTTTTTCTTGCTGTTCAGTTTGATTTATTGATACTTGCAGATACTACAATAACTCTTGCAGTAGTGGTGGACAAGTTGTCACCTCGATTGGCTCAGCTCAAGGTTCTGCACAGAGTGTTTAGTACTGGAGTAGCAGAAGTTCCACCTGACACTCGAAATGTCGTCCGGGCATCTCATCTGCTCAACACCCTGTACAAGGCCATTCTTGAATATGACAATGTGGGCGAAGCCTCTGAGCAAACCGTATGTAGGATGGGACCTCTGCCTAGTCTAAAGTTCACAGCACAGGAGTGGTGGATAGCTTGTCATAGTTCTTTGTTAAGTGATGTTTAAATCATGGTGTGTCAGACAGGTGTTCAGAGTTTTAAAACTAGCTTCCAAATTCAAGACTGCAGAACACTGGCTCTTCAGGTCTAATTGCCAAAATTGCCAGAGGGATGAGGCAAGGATAAAGCAAGATACGAAAAATACCTAGCTGACTTATATAAATATTTACAGTAAGCCTTTCTTACATAAAAACACAAATCTGTTATGTGAAGTATCTAAAGTAATCACATTCATAGAAACAGTGGAATGGTAATTACCAGGGGCTGAGGAATGGGGAGTTATTGTTTTATGGATGCAAAGTTTCAGCTTTACAACATGAAAAAGTTCTGGAAATCTGTCAACAGTGCGAATGTACTTAACTCTACTGAACTTACACTTAAAAATGGTTAAGATGGTAAATGTTATGTTTTTTTTAACCACAGTTTTTAAAAAATACAAATCAAGCCAGAAACTATAGTGTAGAAAGCCACAGATTTGTTTGGGTGCGTGCTGTAGGCGTGCTTCCTGGTTTGTTGGTGTAACTTTTTGTTTTTCTCACCACTTTAGTGTTGCAGTTCAATACGAAAGAGGCTGGTTTCTTTCAGCTGTGCAGTTTTTCTTCCTACTGGGCACTGTGATAGAATGAAATCATTTCCTCATTTTTTTTTTGGCAGCTGGCCAGTACAGCATTTTCTCATTCTTAATAGACATTTTGCTAGTAGTACTATTTAGATAGGGCAACCATATCCATTTGCCTGGGCTGTCCCAGGTTACGCCTCTTGTCCCTGTGTAATTTTCAGTCTCAAGATGGTCCTGGTATGGACTATAAACAGTGTGGTCATCCCATACTTAGGTGAGTTTTTCGTAATATTTTATGGTGTATGAGTTTTTTATTGGTTTGTTTGTTTTTGGTGGCTAGCCAGTATGTATAGTGTATGTTTTTGAGTTTTTAATATGGTTTGTTTTTTTAAAAAGCATAGAAATTCAATCACATTTTAAAGGCATTTCAGAAATGTTTAAACCTTATTTTACCTAGAGATAGGGAAGCTCTGAGAGCTGACTGTGTGCATTCTCTTCCTCAGGTCTCCCTTCTGTTCTCTCTCTGGGTGGAAACAGTGCGGCCCTATCTGCAGACAGTGGATGAGTGGATTGTGCATGGGCACCTGTGGGATGGTGCCAGGGAGTTCATCATCCAGAGGTGAGGCTGGTATAGAGTGCGGGGAGGGGGCACTGGGCACTAGCTTCACTCATCTGCTCCCACATGAAAGTCGAGTGCTCTCATCAGTTTCAAATGGTGCTGAGAGCACACAGTTTGAATGACAGAGCTATGTTGCCACCATAACTAAGTTGCATTGTGTTTTTATAGAAGACGTCAGTACCAGCCAATTAAAAATATCTTTGAGTGTTATGCTTGTTCACAGTTTTTCTTAGCAAATTATATTTTTGAATGATGGTATATTTATGGCTAGCTGGTATGTTTAAATACAAACTGCTTTCCATAAAAAAGGTGATATCAAGTGGTTTCAACTATTCCCATTATAAATTATCAGTAAGATAAAAAGTATGAAAATATTACAGAATATAACTAATGTATTTATTTCTCATAATTAGCTACTAATTCTTTTTACTTTACCTTAGTATAATATTTAATAAAACAATTAAGGAAAATTTTAACCCATTATGACAATTCACCTTCAGTTTATTGATTTTTTTCTAACAGAATCATATAAACCGCAATGTAGAACTATTTGTACTCTTTTAACTCAGTTTTAAGTTATACAGTCTTTTTAGATGTATGGTTTCTATTGATAGCTAACCATTGAACTCATCAGGAAGGATAACTTTAAGTCCTTAGAGTTTTGTTGTTGTTGTTGTTGTTTTGGGAGCTGACCTGTACAGGGATCTGAACCCATGACCTTGGGGCTATAAGGCTGCACTCTAATCAACCTTAAAATTCTTAATGGTAACACAGTTACATACAACTCGTGTAAATGAACTGGCTTTCTTTAACTGAGTCTCCTATCTATCATTATGTCCTGTGTCATCAATCTCAAATGAGAATTTTTGTGAAAATGGAATTTTGACTATTCTTCTAGGGTGATGAATCAACATCATTTCACTGTTTTAAAAAATTCAGTTAGTTTGTATGTGAAAAAAATGGTAGACACATCTGGAAATTACTTTCACAGGAGATGGTAAAATGGGTAAACTTCTATTCTACGGCTAAAGAAAACCAAATTAATCACATTTTGTTTAATTCCAATGCAGTAAACTATTTCTACTTATTTACTTTTTACCTATACTATTCAGAGTATTTATCCACTTTGCTATGTTAAAATGAGGTCAGATTAAAAACTGCCCCATTTTGTCTTAAGATTGCTTCATTTTACTAATAACTGATACTGCATATGCTCCTCAACTTATGATGGGGCTACATCCAGATAAAACAATTGTAAGCTGAAAATATCGTCAGTCAAAAATGCATTTAAGGGCCGGCCCGGTGGCGCACTGGATAGTGCGCCGCTTGGGAAGCGCGGAGGCGCTCCCGCCGAGGGTTCGGATCCCACATACAGACCGGTTCCCGCTCACTGGCTGAGCGAGGCGCGGGGGCAACACCGAGGGTTGTGATCTGTTGCCGGTCCCGGTCCGGTACGGGGGCAACACTGAGGGTTGCGATCCGTTGCCGGACACGGAAAAAGACAAAAGACAAAAAAAAAAAAAAAGATTGTTGTGGGCCGGCCCGGTGGCGCACTGGATAGTGCGCCGCTTGGGAAGCGCGGAGGCGCTCCCGCCGAGGGTTCGGATCCCACATACAGACCGGTTCCCGCTCACTGGCTGAGCGAGGCGCGGGGGCAACACCGAGGGTTGTGATCTGTTGCCGGTCCCGGTCCGGTACGGGGGCAACACTGAGGGTTGCGATCCGTTGCCGGACACGGAAAAAGACAAAAGACAAAAAAAAAAAAAAAGATTGTTGTGGGCCGGCCCGGTGGCGCACTGGATAGTGCGCCGCTTGGGAAGCGCGGAGGCGCTCCCGCCGAGGGTTCGGATCCCACATACAGACCGGTTCCCGCTCACTGGCTGAGCGAGGCGCGGGGGCAACACCGAGGGTTGTGATCTGTTGCCGGTCCCGGTCCGGTACGGGGGCAACACTGAGGGTTGCGATCCGTTGCCGGACACGGAAAAAGACAAAAGACAAAAAAAAAAAAAAAGATTGTTGTGGGCCGGCCCGGTGGCGCACTGGATAGTGCGCCGCTTGGGAAGCGCGGAGGCGCTCCCGCCGAGGGTTCGGATCCCACATACAGACCGGTTCCCGCTCACTGGCTGAGCGAGGCGCGGGGGCAACACCGAGGGTTGTGATCTGTTGCCGGTCCCGGTCCGGTACGGGGGCAACACTGAGGGTTGCGATCCGTTGCCGGACACGGAAAAAGACAAAAGACAAAAAAAAAAAAAAAGATTGTTGTGGGCCGGCCCGGTGGCGCACTGGATAGTGCGCCGCTTGGGAAGCGCGGAGGCGCTCCCGCCGAGGGTTCGGATCCCACATACAGACCGGTTCCCGCTCACTGGCTGAGCGAGGCGCGGGGGCAACACCGAGGGTTGTGATCTGTTGCCGGTCCCGGTCCGGTACGGGGGCAACACTGAGGGTTGCGATCCGTTGCCGGACACGGAAAAAGACAAAAGACAAAAAAAAAAAAAAAAAAAAGATTGTTGTCTTTGGCAGCTTTTAGCACTGTGTTTGAAAAGGCAGTGATGATAAGTTCCACAGGCATCTTTACTCTTCATGTACTGGTCCTTTAAAAAATAATTCTCTGCCATTTCTTAATGCATTTTAGTGTTTAGCTTTTGAGGACCATGAACCCTGGCAGATAGGAAGTTGTTGATGAGCAGTTAAGACTTGATCATAGATTTTGAGAAAAACTTGGTATATAGTTTCTGGTCTTTTGATGCAATTTAAATAATATATTTAAAGTTTGTCAGCTGATTAAAAAGGCTTAAAAGATATAGATGTGACATTGCTTGGCTTATAAATCATCTCAATGTTCTTTTATATTGTTGTATCTACTTATCATGGTGTTATAGTGTATGGTGGTAACTTAATTTTCAAGTGTCCTGCTAAGAAGACTCTGTTCAGAAAGAAATTAGCTTGTACATTGTGATATTTAATCATGAATTTTGCAATTGTTTAACAGAAGATATAAAAATGTTTAGTTTTGCTGTACTGTAAAAGGAAAGTGAAGAAACAAGGAAAAAATAATAGGAAAATACAAAGAAAAAAATTCAAGGAAAAATACTAGGCTGTATTAAGATGAAATTACTTAATATTTCTTAATGTTACTTTATACTATTTAGCAGAACATAGTTCACCTTACATATTTCCTTATGGTTCAGATGCAGAAAGAAAAAGCTTGTACACCCTCTTTCTGGAATCTGTACAGTCACGTCTTCAACACAAAGAAGATTTCACTCCACTGGTCCTTACTGAGCAACAGGCAACCAAAGAGAACTTAGTTAAGATGCAGTCCATTGCTGAAAGACACCTTGAACTGGATGATGTTCATGATCCACTGCTGGCCATCAACTTTGCAAGGTGATACGCACCTGCGAGACTTTCAGTGGTTGAAATGGCAGAATCTGTGCAATATTTAGTAATTTTATTTCTTACAGATAGGGCTTTGTAGCCATAAAAACAAAAACCCGAGAGTCTGTCTTTTCTAATAAATGGAATACAATAGGATGTGTTCACTTATTTCACAGTATAATTTGGCCTCCTTGTTGTTTGTGGAAGTCTGCAGAGTTGGCCCTGCTGTCTTGTCTCTGTCCACTGGCCCCTGGGCGTACCTTCACTCACTCAGAAGGTGCTCCTGAAAGTCTGGGGTGTGGGCGGGTGTGGGCACACATTGAGTCAGGGTCTCTGTCTACATAAAGTGTGTCTTGGGTTTAAGATGCTTTTAGGCACTTAGCCCAGTGGAATAAGTTGTTAATGCCTACATGGTGCCATATTGCTGATAGCCAGCATTTGGTGTGTGCGGCCCTAATAGTAGAAGGACCAACTCCAGTACCTGACCCTAAAGGTGGCAGTGACTCTGAAAGACTGGTTCACTCAGGAATATTTTGAGGAGAAAGATTTCTCTTTCTGTAATAGTTGGTGATTTTAAGACTAAAGGTAAAATGGGATTCTGGGGTTTTGATTTAAGAGAATTCTGTTGACAGCAACTCATAAAAAGATTCATGTTTTCATTTTAAGGTTGTATTTGGAGCAGAGTGACTTTCACGAGAAGTTTGCTGGTGGTGATGTATGTGTGGATAGATCATCAGAATCTGTGACGTGCCAGACTTTTGAATTAACACTGAGATCTTGCCTCTATCCTCATATTGATAAACAGTATCTAGATTGCTGTGGAAATCTCATGAAAACTCTAAAAAAGGATTACAGGTAAAAACGAGTAATTTAGTTTTGAAAGTAGTCAGTAGTTGATTGTACTATAAGAATGGTTGAAATGGTTTTAAAACCTGTTATTTCAGGTTAATTTTTATTAGAGTAGGAAATAGATATATAGTCAACACAATTTTCTTTTGAGAGGATCAGTTAACTATGAATATTTTTTTAACTATGTTGTGAAATTTAATCCTTTGTTTATTTCTGAGAATGTATCACAAGAAATACAGGACAAGCTTGTACAGAAATGCTTATTACAGAGTTTTCTATCTGGATGAAAAACATGAAATTACTTCGTAATAGATAACTGGTTCTTTAAATTATGGCATATCCATAAATGTGACGTATCCATATATGAACTGTGTAAAGTTCATTAGTTTATTAAACAACAGGACATATAATACAATAGGAATTAGATATTTTTTAAAACGCATAGAAAAAAAGACTGGGAAGAAATACTCCTAATATTAACAGTGGAAATTCACCATGGATGGTGGGATTTGGATTAATTCTTTTGTTACATTTTGCAGGACATATAATACAATAGGAATTAGATATTTTTTAAAACGCATAGAAAAAAAGACTGGGAAGAAATACTCCTGATATTAACAGTGGAAATTCACCATGGATGGTGGGATTTGGATTAATTCTTTTGTTACATTTTTTGTAAGTTTGTCCAATTTTCTTTGTTCTATAATGTTATCAAAAGATGCATGCTATTTTTGTTATTGAAACAGGTCTTCAAGAAATATATTTCTTTTCAGCTTTTTTGTTTGTTTTTCACAGTGGCCGGTACAGCGATTCAAACCCTTGACCAAGTGAGCTAACTGGCCAACCCAGGATGTTAGTATTTCTGATTTTAGTAAATGTAGAATGTAAAAATGGCAGTGTACAAAACCTGTTACTGATCCAGAATCCTGCCTTATGAACTTGAAAGATCTTTCTGCCACTTATTTTCTGTCCATTCAGGTTGGTAGAGTACTTACAGGCCATGAGGAATTTTTTCTTAATGGAAGGTGGAGATACGATGTATGACTTCTACACGTCAATTTTTGATAAAATAAGAGAAAAGGAAACCTGGCAGAATGTGTCGTTTCTTAATGTCCAACTCCAAGAAGCAGTAGGACAGCGTTATCCTGAAGATAGTTCACGGTAAAATATGGGAGGCACCTTTTGTTTAAAATAGTATAAAGCAAACCATGTGCCATAAAGTCTCCTATGACTTTTTACATGTATTATCTTATTTAATCCTCACACTAGCCCTGTGAGTTTTACTAATATTATTTTACATATTTGGAAATTGAGGCGGGGGTGTCAAAGTGACCCACCCACTCCACAAAAGATGGGACCATGCCGCCTATCAGGGTCGGATGCCACCCTCGTTTCCTGGAGTCAGTGCTTTCTCAGAGATCTCCTGACTGTCTCTATATCTCTTGGCCTCACTTCCTTCCAGCAGAAGGGACTTGACCCTCACCTGAGTGACCTCAAAACACCAGCAGCAACCTCCACTGCTCATGCTCAGGTACCACATGGGCACCTCCTGGCAGATGGCTAAGCTTTTTCTCTTCAGGGAGAAAGCTTTTCACTGTGTGGCTCCATTTTCCCAGCTTTCTGTCCCACACACTTGCACACACCATGTTCTCTCTTCTATCACACTTCACATTTCAGGGATTTGAAAATATTTTTGGTTTCTCAAGTACTGTCCTCTCCCTCCTCCAGTGATGTGCTCTCCTGTGGTGTGGCTGGCAGTAGTCTGCTCTGTGGGTGCAGGCGCCATGACTCCTCTGTGCCAAGAGGCCCACTCTACAAGCCTGCTCTAGGCTGGTGGTCCCTGGAAGAAGTAGAGATCTGCTTTCTATCACCTGCTTAGCATAGCACCTAACAAACAAAATGTTTGATAGGTACCTACTAAACACTTGAGTGCAGATCTGACAGATGGTTAAGAGCTAAAAGAATTCTGACAGGCGCTTGTGTCATGGAATGAGTCGGTTAATTTGTATCCACACACTGCCTTTATTATAGGGAAGGTTTGGAGGTGGACTCCCCACTTCAGCCTCCCACAGTGTGCATCCAGGCATCATCTCTTAGCACTTCCGTGACTGTGGGAGAGTTACATCATTTTTCAGGAACCACTGAGAGGGCCATTTTAGATTAAATGAGAAAAGGGCATTTGAGTGCCTGCGTAGTGCCTGGCATGGACACTTGCACGTACGTGTTAATTGAGTTGTGTTCAAACCCGCCCCAGGAATGTGTAGGTCAGCAGCGCAGCGCACCTTGCTGTGGAAGCAGACCCTATCCCCACCTGCGCTGGGCCACCCTGCACACATGGCTCACACCCGAGGCTGTTCTTCTCGTCCTTGCCCCTAGGGCCTGAACACAGGGCTCTGTCTTTGGAGACTGTTGCCAGAATTTTACCAGAATTAAGCTCCCAGCCCCTTATGTCATTTTATCTTTTTCCCTGTCTGTTTTTCTAATTGTTACTATTGTTAAGTACCTCTTTTATAGCTAAACCCAGTATTTAAAAACTTTGGCCTTCTTCCCCATTTCAAAAACAAATTCCTGTTCTGGAATATATGTCAGAAAACGTATATTTGGTGGAATATTTGCATTTTTGATGAAATGCAGTATCTTCTCGGAATATTATGTAAATGAATGTTAAAATGCTAATTGTTTTTTTAAAAGAGCATTTTTATATGAGCATAGTACTTTCACATTCTAAAACTGAAATTTCTTTATTTAGTCTGTCTATATCTTTTGAAAATGTTGACACGGCTAAGAAGAAACTACCTGTTCATATCTTAGATGGTCTGACCCTAAGCTATAAGGTATGTGCTGATATGCTCTGTATGAACATTGTTCTCTATAAAATTAAAGCATGCAAGTAATAGGTTACCTTTTATTCTAATTTTCTGGTTTTGTTTTTCTAGGTCCCATGGCCTGTGGACATTGTTATAAGTTTGGAATGTCAAAAAATTTATAATCAAGTGTTCCTTCTCTTACTGCAAATAAAGTGGGCAAAATATAGCTTGGATGTTTTACTATTTGGTGGTAAGATTTGTTTTCAGCAGATAAATTCTAAGTTAAAAGAGGTTGGTGGTCTTTGATTATTTTTTATGTGTAACAAATGCCAAAATAACATGATTTATAGCACCAGTTTTACAGATGTCAAATATCTGAATGAAATATCAGGAAATTGTACATGTAGTTGATCTGAAATGGAGTAACTTGATTAGGAATTTAGCCAGAATAAATATCCTTGCTAGGTTATGCAGAAAATTTTAATGACAGGTTAGTAGGACTTTAAGATGTTTCATGTCCATGATAATGAAAGCGATACCAGAAACTTTTCATGCTTCACCTCTGTCAAGGTGCTCTTCGCAGTGCCAGTACGTTGTCCTCAGGATTCCCACCTTGAGTTGTGGTGTGGTGGGGTGTTAGTTGGTGCTGTTTCCACCCACTTTTCTCTTTCAATTTGTAGAACTGGCTAGTGCTGCTGAAAGACTGCAACTGAAAGAAGGCCTCCCACATGAACAAGACGCAGTTGCTCAGTATGGGCCACAGAAGGAACCAGTGAGACAGTGGATCCACCGCTGTAGAACTGGCTAGTGCTGCTGAAAGACTGCAACTGAAAGAAGGCCTCCCACACGAACAAGACGCAGTTGCTCAGTATGGGCCACAGAAGGAACCAGTGAGACAGTGGATCCACCGTATGTTCCTCTTAAGAGTGAAGCTCATGCATTTTGTGAACAGCTTACACAACTACATCATGACCAGGGTTTGTGTCTGTCCACCTGCCTCAGTTCTGTAGCCTTAGATATACAGTTGTTCATAGAGAATCATAGGGCTGTCCAGTTAGCTCAGTTGGTTAGAGCCTGATGCCGATAACAGCAAGGCTCAGGGTTTGATCCCTGTACTAGCCAGATGCCAAAAAAAAAGAAAAAAAGCAAGAGAATTACTTGTAATATATTTATTTATAAATACAAAGGAGCCCACAAAATATTTATAGACTGTGAAAATGGGACATACAAAAATTTTATCATAAAATAATATGGTAGCAGGGGGAAATGTTTTCTTAAACATACCAGAACATATATATCCAGAGACTGCTGTGCCTCCTGTCCAGCAGCCCCTTGGGATGGGTGTAACCATGATCCTCTTTTGGAATTGTCTTCAGAACTTGTACTTAGCCCTTTAAATTCCATCAGTGGTGATAGTTGTCCCTGGGAAATGGCTTTAATATTTAATAACAGCCAAAATCCTCAGGCTAGTATGGTGTGCATGGAGGAAGATGCAGCCAGACTGTATATATTTTTAAAAACAAGAAGTAACTCACTACAAAGTATATATCTTAAAACTGATTCTAGAGGAAGTTCTGAAAGAAGAATTCAGATATTTGAACAATAACAGTATTATTAGAAGTTTGGGGTTTAAAATTGTTGCTCAGAAATAAAACCTTCTCATTTATACCCACTCTGATATATAAGTTCTAAAACCTATCTTGTTTGAATCAAGTGAGCCTTCAAAGCCTGTGTTTTGGACGTGAAGTAAGTGGCAGAGGTACTCTCTGCTTCCTCTGACTGTATTTCTGCCTTTGCAGGGCTGGCCTTGAGCCCTGAATTGTTGAGCATGTTTTTTCTCAGTTTATTTTTTGTTTCCATTTGAAGTACATCTATGCCCCTTTTAGAGAAAGGCCAATATATGAAAAGTGGAACTTGTAAGAACATATATATTTATTATAATTATTTGTATTATAAAAGTAATGCTCATATTTGTAACACATTTACCTGGTAATTTCTTTAAAAAACATCAGTGTATCTTCTGTACAGTTTGATGTGCTCTTCGCTTCCCTAAGAAGCCTTAGTGCTGCGTGCAGCATCCTTCACCATGCAGGGGTGCTCTACAGAACTGGCCACACCCTCGGCTTAGGATCAGAACTCCAGGGTATCCAGTTAGCCTTTAAAGCGTGGTACTTAGGGCCAGCCCCTTAGCTCACTCGGGAGAGTGCGGTGCTGATAACACCAAGGTCACGGGTTCGGATCCTATATAGGGATGGCCGGTTCGCTCACTGGCTGAGCGTGGTGCTGACAACACCAAGCCAAGGGTTAAGATCCCCTTACCGGTCATCTTTTAAAAAAACAAAAACAAAAAAAAACCGTGGTACTTTATGAAACTTTACAGGTGTGGTTATTGAAGGAGGAATTTGACAGGAGTAGAAGTAGTTGGTAAGAAGTTCTGTGTGCTTCATGTAAGTCCTCAAAGAAGGACTCCTCAAAGTCTGCTGATGAAGTTTGTCATCTTTCTCTTCCAAGATTCTTCACAGTACAGGGCTGGAGTTTCAACATCAAGTCGAGGAAGCCAAGGATTTAGATCAGTTGATTAAAATTCACTACAGGTATTTGTCTACCATTCATGATCGATGTCTGCTGAGAGAAAAGGTACGTGAGATGTCACCAGCAAATGTGGCCACTATGGTGGGGGGACGTTGGGCGAGTGTGGCTGTCTGTCTGCTTTGGAACTTTATTATTATTAAGCTTCTGTCCTGCAGAATATTCGTTAAGGAAAGACTAGATCAAATGAGTTTACAAATACTGACCTATTCTGGAAATTATATCTGGAAGAAACACAGAACTATGTTGTGACAGCACTCACTCTGTACCACACTTGGATTCAGTGGAAAATATGTGTGCAATTGTGGAATAATAGTACATCCAGCTTAGTGTAAATACGAAATTCAGTAGTATTACAGCCATTGGAATTACTTGTCCCGGTTTCACTGGTGAATTTAAATGGACATCCCAGGAAATGGTAGCTTGCTCTGTTGGTTCAGCTCTACTGCTAATACCACCTATATCCTGGGCCTGATCCCAAGTGGGCATGGTTCAGAGCTAGCACCCTTCCTTATACACAGAAGATGAGCTTTTTCTGTGCATTGATGAGCATTTTCTGTAACTCATCTAAATTAGGCCAAAGTGTTGGTGTCGGTGTCCAAACTAGTTACAGAGGCTGCGTTCTGTCCATGACTTTGATCTCCAGGTCAGCTTTGTGAAAGAAGCCATCATGAAGGTATTGAACTTGGCTCTCATGTTTGCAGACGGTTGGCAAGCAGGCCTCGGGGCTTGGCAGTAAGTATGTAGCTTGTGAACTATCTGGGTTATCACCATTTCACCTTCCCTTGTAACTGGTTTCATTTGGGGAGCCTTTTTTGCATCTTGGCAACATATTACATACTACTGTATTTAAGAATTAAGAACTGGGGCCGGCCCGTGGCTCACTCGGGAGAGTACGGTGCTGATAACACCAAGGCCACGGGTTCGGATCCCATATAGGGATGGCTGGTTGCTCACTGGGTGAGCGTGGTGCTGACAACACCAAGTGAAGGGTTAAGATCCCCTTACCAGTCATCTTTTAAAAAAAAAAGAATTAAGAACTGAATTTGTTCACCTAAACTAGGCAGCATTAAGAATTTTGCAATTATTTTATGAGAGGTAAAACAGTAAGAAAAATCTGAAGTCTTAATTAGGACAAGCAAATATTCTTAGATTATATTCATGTTCTGTTGTACAGGTTTTATTAGATTTTTACTATGAACACCTTCAGACATACACAGAAGTAGAGAGGACAGCGTAATAGCCCCACACACCTGTTCCCCCTCAGCAGCTGTCAGTGATGGCCAGTGCATGCGTGTCAGGTCTGCCACCCACCCCCACTCACAGTCAGTTATCTTAGAGCATATTCTGGACATAATGCTAGATTATAGTCCAAAGTTGCATTTTGAATGAGCTCTAAAAGATACTGTATATTTTACTTTTAAAGTGTTTGTTATTCATGTGTGTCATGTAGAAAGGTAAATGCCCTGAAGTTGAGGGACAGTTGTGGACAGGAGCTCTTTTGTCCTATCTAGCAGTACCAGCCTCTACTGTTAAATATACAGGTCAATGTTTTATCCCTGTCTTGTTTATAAAATTAATGCAATGATAATTCGGCTGTTACTTCCCTGAAATAAAAATGCGTGACTGGTTGACAGAGTTGTTATAATAACTTGTACTTAATCCATGTTGGTAAGGAGGTGAGAGCTCATTGTAGGGCTAGTGTAATTCAGCATCTTCACCTGTGGCTGTGGTCAGAATGCAGAAACTAAGATAGCAAGCAAAATTCATAATTGATGAAATTAGAAGTCTTACTTGCTTCATTACTGCTCTCCCAAAGTGTATAAAATATATTTCTCTTTTCATATTATTTTGAGGTGGAGGAGAAAATAACACTTCTTCATGTGTTTTCCTAAAATTGAACTTTTAGTTTATTCAATAAATAAATTATGAGAAAAAAATGGGGAGAGGAGGACTTAAGCATATCATTCATCACAGTTTATGGAAATTAATTGGTCCTGATTCAAACTAAAAGCAAAAAAGTGAAAAACGGTAGGAACAGTGTGAAATTTGCTTGAACACTGATTATTTGGTAATATTAAAGAAACATTAAATATTTTTAAGCAAATGGTGTTGTGGTTATGTTTTGAAAGGAGTCTTTAAAGTATACGCTTATCCTTATGTAATGTTAATGACTGAAATGCATTAAAAACAAAAAAAATCAAAAAAACCCTTTTTAAAATAATTTCAAATTTTAGGGTTTTCTATCCTTAATGTGTTCTTTATTTCCAAGAACATATATGCTTGTAAAAAATAAAAATACAGAACCTGTATAAAGAAAAACAGAATATCCCCAGTTTTATTTCCTAATGAAACTTTCCTTAAGACACTTTGAAAATTTTTATTTTCAAGTAGAATGGGACAGTTTATATTTTATTTTATAATCTATTATATTACAATTTTAGGACTGGCCAGTTAGCTCACTTGATTAGAGCATGGTGCTGATAACACCAATGTCAAGGGTTCGGACGGGACAGTTTATATTTTATTTTATAATCTTTTATATTACAATTTTAGGGCTGGCCAGTTAGCTCACTTGATTAGAGCATGGTGCTGATAACACCAATGTCAAGGGTTCGGATCCCTGTACCGCCAGCCACCAAAAAAAAGTAAATAAAATAGACTGAAGATTTTAAATAATTAAAGTGCATTTGAAATTACTCCAAAGATATTTTGTAGCCTACCTATTACTTATGCACTTACTTAAATTAAAATTTACTTTCTTTCCCAGAATGGAATCAATAGAGAAAATGGAGTCTGATTTTAAAAACTGCCATATGTTTCTCGTAACCATCTTAAACAAAGCTGTCTGTAGAGGATCCTTTCCCCATTGTGAGTATACCATGTTAAAATATTACTGCTTTTGTGTTTTCTCGTAGTTTAGTCTGTGTCATTGTCTTGTTACTGATCACATAAAGAATTAGATTTTCTCATCATATTCAAAACTGAAAAGTCTCTTAGCAGTTTTGCCATGCTTTGAGTCATTTTTCCACAATTACCGTGGGGCGAGTGCATGTCAAGTGTAAAACACCAGGACTAAGGGTTTTTCCTCCTAGTATACCATCTGTTACAGCAGTGGATTTCTAACACTAATATTAAATAAAGCAGGTGGCAGAATAGATCTGTCACACTTTACTGTCATGTATGGTAGCCTTTGTAACTACAGGCACACCTTGGAGATACTGCTGTTCAACTCCAGACACCACAGTAAAGTGAACGTCGCAACAGAGCGAGTCACACAGACGTTGTGGTTCCCAGTGCATGTAACAGTCGTGATCACACTGTACTGCGGTCTATCAAGTGTGCAATGATAGCGTCATGTACAAGGGCACATGAAAAAAATGTACAAGGGTACTTGAAAAAGTTTGTGGAAAGTAGAATTAAAAAGTAGTAAAAATCTTTTCATGAACTTTTTGAAGTACCTTGTACATACCTCAACTGAAAAATACTTTATTTCTAAAACTGCTAATGATCATTCAAGCCTTCTGTGAGTCGTAATCTTTTTGCTGGTGGAGGGTCTTGCCTTGATGTTGATGACTGCTGACTGAGGAGGGGGTGGTGGGTGCTAAAGATGGGGGGCGCTGTGGCAATTTCCTAAAACAACAGTAAAGTTTGCCACATTGACTGACTCTTCCTTTTACATAAGATTTCTGTGTAACATGCAATGCCAGGGTAAAACTTCTTTCAAAATTGGAATCAGGGGCCGGCCCGGTGGCGCACTGCTATAGTGCGCCACTTGGGAAGCGCGG